CCGTAGTACAGTGTTATTTTTCTTTCAATGCTGAAGGTGTCCGTACGAAATTCTTCAGTGTTAATGCAGTAACTTGGGATATCCGACATACAGCTGCTCACTTGCACCTTGTCATCCACAGTCGCGTGACTCCGAGTGTTAATGCGTGTTTCGTAAGCCCCACAACTGCCACACGTTGTAAGGCTTAAAAATCACTTGTCTATAGAATGATCACAATTAAACACATCACTAATTGCAGCATCGTGAAATACGTACCTGCTACTAAGCTAAGACTGTGGCGGCCTCCGTAGTCTAGGGGTAACATTCCCACCTCATGACTCAAGGTACGCGGAAAAATTCAGGGAACAAGTCCTCCGGGAGGGACTTAAGCCGTGGGTCCCGTAGATTTACGGCATGTAAAAGATCCTGATGTCTCTAAGAGACCTCTGAGCAAAATTAGGCAACAAGTTTCCCGCCTAAGTAGTTTCCAATGTCTCTGGTAGATGGGGGAAATATCAGGTACCGAAGGCCGACCTCGTTTGCTGAACGGGGCTGATAGCACGCACCAGTACCGGTAGGGTATGGCGACAGTAGAAATTAAAGGAGGACGCACAATGGACCAATAACTGGTCTAAGTGCATGGGGAAACCCACCCCCTCTAATAAATATAATAAATAATAAAGCTAAGACTGTGAACTCACGCCTCCTGAACTCGAGGTGTGTTCAACAGGAGGGCACTGTGCGAAATGGGACACCATGAAACAACATTAATCTGGCCCATTGTCCTACTCAGACGAGGTAGCACACAAATATTCTTATAAATGTGTTTATTCCTTACATCCACGTCGGAAATGAGATGCATGTGCATGTATAGTAGCTTCTTTACGAAGGAAATACTTTAGAAAATTTGTTCTTAAGCCCTCTTTTCTCGGAACCACGAAGTCGAAACTATATTTAGATATGTTATAAATGGTGGTTAGATTTAAAAAACAACTGATAGTGGCTCATTTAGCACATAATTTGAATGTGATATAGTAAAGAAATGAAGCAGGAGTACTCTTCTCCAAGTATAATTAGAATGATCAAGTCAAGGAGGATGAGATGGACAGGGCATGTAGCACGAATGCATATAGGATATTGGTGGGAAAGCCAGAAGGAAAGAAACCGCTGGGAAGACCAAGACGTAGGTGAGTGGACAATATTAAGATGGATCTTATAATGAGATGATATAGACTCGATTAATATGGCTCAGAATAGGGACCAGTGGAGGGCTCTTGTGAACACGGTAATGAACATTCGGCTTCCATAAATTGCTGGGAAGTTCTTGAGTAGCTACACAATTGGCGGCTTCTCGAGAAGGGCTCAGCTTCATGAGTGAGTGAGTGAGTGAGTGAGTGAGTGAGTGAGTGAGTTTGATAAACTCCTGAAATTACTTCCTTCCGTGCTTTGTATGTACGTCCATAATATGTACAGGTGTAGCAGTGTATAACCGAGCTTCACTGCAAAGGTGCAGGCAGGAACGAGAAAACCACCAAGAGGTAACACATACGGAAGGAACGTAATCCTTCTGGGTACTCCCTTCATGACCTCTCCATATTTCGTTATTCTTTCCTCTCTTTCTGTGACGTGGCTCGGACTCGGAAATATTCTGCATCGAGTACACATATTGTGGTGTGGTGCAGAAGCAGCCAAAGTTGGCTCTGTGAAGATATGTGACAGTTGTGGAGCTAGGAATCACCATTTTCCATATCTCGGCACTTCAGAGATGAGTTCACAGTACAAGGGGAAATATCATGTTTCTACCAAATAGAAATCTGACTAATACTCATATATGTAGCAATACGGAGTCATAAATCCGTGACAACATCATGCACAGTTCGAAACTATTTTTCTAAAAATATGGTAGCCGGACGAATATATTGGTATTTTCTGGATCCTTACTGTGGCTCTCCCCTCCGGTCATCGCGCAAATTTAATAATATCACTGTCGCTGGTACGTCACACACCCCATTGCAAGGCATAAGATAACGTAGTCTAGTCTAAAGTAGACTAAACGTTGTTGGGCGCGGTTCGCAGTTTCCTCTGGGCTGCGAGTAACCGAGTGAGACTGCCAGAACTCTAGAAGCCAGCTGCTCAACACCTGCGCTGTTCGCAAGTTTCTCTGGGCTGCGAGTAACTGGGTGAGACTGCCAGGACTCTAGAAACCAACTGCTGAACACCGGCGCTGTTCGCAGTTTCCTCTGGGCTGCGAGTAACTGGGTGAGACTGCCAGAACTCTAGAAGCCAACTGCTCAACACCTGCGCTGTTCGCAAGTTTCTCTGGGTTGCGAGTAACTGGGTGAGACTGCCAGAACTCTAGAAGCCAACTGCTCAACACCTGCGCTGTTCGCAAGTTTCTCTGGGCTGCGAGTAACTGGGTGAGACTGCCAGGACTCTAGAAGCCAACTGCTGAACACCGGCGCTGTTCGCAAGTTTCTCTGGGCTGCGAGTAATTGGGTGAGACTGCCAGAACTCTAGAAGCCAACTCCTCAACACCGAGTGTGAAATTAGTCGTCAACCAAAATTATTCAGTAGCCAGTGGAGACATGGCGACCGCACCTTTCATCCCCATGGTATTATATATTTTTTGTGGGTGAGGAGAATATTTATCTAGGTTTGATTTTCCTGTGATGCAGGATTGCGGCTCATATGAGCTCTGATTCCTTCCAAATTTTTGCTTACATTTCGACTCCAGAAATGAAGTACTTTCCTCAGAAATGTCGGTGAACGTCTGTTGGGCATCACAGGAGGTGGTTCTGTTCAAGAATTAAATTGGCCTGGCAACTTTTGGCTTACTTTCGCCAATACCAAATTATTTTTAGCCCTTTCAGCTATTTGAAGTGAAACATTGGCACAAACCTTTGCTCCGCATTATGCATTTTGTGAAAGAAAGCAGAGTTCATAAAGCCGTACAAGTCACTGTACAAGTCCAGAAGACGGTCGGGGGTCAGTCAGCGTAACAGGCCATGAAAATCACACAGCGAGCGCTACATTTAGTTCCGGTCTGGGGCGCTGACGTACAGTGAAGACTGGGTCGCCACTTCCTTGTGCTAGCACGCGATTCTGGCGTCACGTCACGCCGCTTGAGGCCAGCAGGCCGATTAATCGCAGACAGCTGTAGTCAAAGTTTCTGTCTCGGCGGTCTTGTCAAAACTAGATGACCATTGTAACCATCATTTGATTCAAGCCCAGTGACTTATTTCGTCGCCATTTTGCATAGGAACAACCTTGATGGCCTGGCCATACTGAGTTCATAAGGAAGTTAAAATCCCCTTTGGTTGTTTCGTTTTCTTATTTATCTTCCAACACTCGTTTTCCCCTCTTGGGCCCCTTGTCAGTATTTGTTTTCTTATATCCTTTCAGTTTATTCATTCAGTACACTGTTAATGACCGCGTCTGTCGTCTAGTGGTCAGAGTTCCTGCCTACAGATCCAGAGATCCAGGTTCGATTCCCGGCGCTATCAGGTTTTCTGAGCAGTAGTGGATCTGGAACGGTTCCACTCAGCCTCGTGAGGGTAACTGAGAAGTTATTTCAAGGAAATAGAAAACCGAGATTAGCGGCCGTGGGGATCCGTTGGGCTTACTAAGCGACACCCTCTCCATCCATCCATCAGTAATCTGTCAGACGACAGGTCCACAGCCTCTTCCAAAACAGTTTCTCCTCTTAATGCGATCTTCTGTTTTTGGAAAGAGACAATCCAGGAAAAGTGATAATGTGGTAGTTCTTCCATTTGCTTTCCACATCGCAGTACAACAGCCGTTCAAACCACTCTGGTCACGCCTGTTGCTATACGAACTTGAACCATCTCGAGCATCACTTGCTCTGTGCTTCAAGTCGCTGCTGATGACGCTGCTTCCGGCATCAGTTTTTGGTTTTTGGTGTCTCTCTTCGTCTGATGCCTACCCTTTGACCTGTCCAGCAAGGGAGGCCCTGCCAGTAGCTACGCTACCGCTGGTATAGCTCTCAGGGTCCTTGGCATACTCAAACCCCCTCACCACGATAAGGTGGAGACACCAACGAGGGGGTTGCTAAAATTGGCGCTAACTTCGCCGAAAAACGGCGGTCGGTCGGTCGGTCGGCATAGTTCGCTTGCGGACTACAGGCCCCGGAGTTTTGTTTTATTTGTGCTCCCAAATAACATCTTCGCACTTTTCTCTGGTCTGTAAGTATAACTCTTGGTACTGGTCACAGGAAACGCATTTTCAGAATATTAATTTCTGCTGTATTCTGTTATTAGTGGCGGAATGATCTGTTGGAATTCAAAGGAGAACATTTCCTTTCGTATTATAACGTGAATGGCCTGGAGCGTTTCTAGGCGACGACCTGTAAACAACTTCAGTCGAGTGCATTACGACAAAAAGATGAATGTTTACAGCTCGTTGCTAGGCGACAGTCAGCGCACCAATAGACTGACGAGATATCACGTCGACCCCATGGCCATTATGCGGCTCAAAGGATTATGTTAATTGAAAAAATAATCCATCTCATCGGGACTCAAACCCGCGACCTTGCGGCTTGTAGCATAGTGCCTCATCAACTACGCTACTGCGTCACCCCATCCCAAGAAACTGAAGACAAGTCTAGGGACCCCGAAGGTCCATGACCATATGTGTGCCGTGTTAATATAAGAGGAAAGTGAAAAGACATGAGTTTGGGGCTCACGGAGTGGTTCGTTGTTTGTATCAAATTCTGCGAAAGGCATCAATCAACTTCTACAAGAGGTGCTGAATTCCACGTGACGATGTAGTGTATGATTGTGAATTTTAAGGTATGTGGTAAGCCGCCGTTGGAGGAACTTCCACATGTTTCCTCTGTAGGCAATGAAGAAACTATACAAACATCGGTGTAGCCGTTGCTCCGAAATGGAATCGAATTCCTCCCGGATGCGAAGTCGGTTGCTCTGTTATTTTCTGGCTGAAAGAAATGTTTAACCATTACGAAATTCAGTACAAATCTGAAACGTGTTCTCATTTGTCCTTAGGTCTGTACAGAACATTCAAGATGGCGTACCACGGACTGAGCCAACACGTGAACTTTGAGGAGTTGCCAGCCCCAGGCGACCGGTTCATTCTGCAAGACCTGATAGGGGAGGGGACCTATGGGGAGGTGTACAGCGCCAGGGACACTGTGACCGGTAAGAGATCCTCACATAAAGCCCACTCACTAATCATGTCTAGGTTTACACCAAAAATGTCAGGAATTTCTTATAACATTTCTCCTTGACAAACCTGAATACCACAGTGCCCACGAGGTCGCCCGGTCAGACACTGGGATCGTGGGTTCAAATCCCACTTGAGGCATGGACGTATGTGTGCGTTTAACCCGTGTTTGTATTGTCCTGTGTACAAGTAGCGGCCTTGCAAAGGGCCGATCCTGCGCCCAAGGAGTCCTACCGACTGTATAGATGAGCAAGACAGTGAAATAACGGTCGTGGTCCAACAAAGGCCTGTAGATAGGCCATCTTAGATGCTTATCTAGCCAGACTCCCAGAAATTTTGAGTGATCTGTGTAGTTGATAACAGTGTCATAAATCTTTATTGGAGGGCATTCAAGTTGTAGTTTTTGAGGATGATGGAAGGCTATTGCTATTGTTTCCTCTTTATTAATAGTTAATTGATTCCTCTCAAACCACTCTGTGATTTTTTTAATTGTTTCATTTGTTTTCCTTTGAATTTCGTTGGCGCTATTTCCTGCTATAAAAATGCTAGTATCATCGGCAAAGAACGTAGGTTTCCCATGTTCTATGCTGGCCTCCAGGTCGTTTATGTATAACAGAAAGAACACTGGTCCCAGAACGGAACCTGTGGGACGCCATAGCTGATGGGTCTCTTTCGGGATAGGTAATTAATGTTACGATTAGTTTTTTGCATCTGTATGTAATTTCTACCGCATGTTCTCTATTTTCTAAGTATGTTTGGAACCAACTTAGTGTAACCCCTCGTATCCCCATTCTTTCCATCTTACATAGCAATATATCATGAACTACTAGGTCGAACGCTTTTGATAAATCCAAAAATATCCCTATACTCCTTTCTTTTTCATCTAGTGCTTTGTAAACCCTTTTTGTAAATTCTGTGATTGCTGTATGTGCAATATCCATGTCACTCTCTTATTGAAGATTACACCTATATATTTTGCGCTGTTTACAAATGGAATATTTCGTCCCTTTAGAGTAAGACTAGACTCAGGCGGTCGACGACTACGAGAGAAATAGACCCCCCGAGTCTTATCTTCATTAATTTTAATATTCCAGCGCTCACACCAGGTCTCCATTGAGCTGAGACGCGCTGGAGTTTTCTAACAACAAACCCAACCTTTAACAGATATTCTTCATATAGGCGCCGCACGGAAAAGACAGAACACAAGTCACGTGATAGTGTTGTTGAAGTGTGACGCAATTGCGTTTGCGCGAAAATCTGTTTACTGAGCCGTTGCCTGGAAGCGTGTTGCGTAACCTCGTTGATCCACTGTTGCGAGCGTTTGTCGCACGTATTCACCGGTCCGTTATCTAGCAACGCTCTGGCCATCCACGTTACAATATTTTTGCTGGAGATTTTTGAGATAAGGGGCCATCTGGGAGACGCAGCTTAAATGGCAGTACACCAGTACTAATAAATGGCTGTTGGAGAAATGATGTTGAAGGGCATGGAATGTGGGCATAATTAATTGGCTCAGGACATGATGACGAATTTTGGACTTACTTTGTACCATATGAAATTTGGAGTTACATTTGACCAGAATAAACTTTTATCAAGAAGAAACTTGGAGTTGATTTTGACAACTTGGAACTTGGAGTTATTTTTGGCCAGCTGAGTAACTACCAAATTGTCAAGGAATCCTATGTAACTTTATGACGGAAGACCTCCCATCTGTCGTCATTAAATTATTTTCAGCGGTTCCTACTTTTCGACTCGATGATCTGTACCGCCTCAAAAGTTTTCTTCGACCAGTCATCCTTCTGTGGTTTTAAGATATTGTTTTCTGCTGTTTCGTGAATTCTGGATCTAATTCAGAATTGTCTCTGTGGCTGTTTTCTTCCATCCTTATAACACATTCTTATTCAAGTAGAGTGTTCACGCTGCAAAGGAATACACTGATTGAAATATAATAATTCGACATATAAGTTCCTGACATTGCCATTTCGTCGATACTATTGACATGCTATCATTAGCAGAAGCTCCTTTGTTCATAATGTCACGTGTGCCGGGTTCTAGTTCGGGTGATTGGATTTATTGGCATTTTGATTACAGCCTCTCTGCTAATTTACGCAATTTATAATTCACCGTTGCACACGCATTAGAATTCTTCATCTTCACTAGTCGTATCCTGGCAACGGATCTCCTCACAGAAACTGGCACAGTCTCACTGAGTTACACACTCCAAATGTTACACACAAATAAAGCCTTCAAATCACACGCAAAGTCTTCACAGGCCGACCTCTTGTACTGTTCTGTACTCCTGGTTCCAAATCGCTTTCCAGCTTACGGCTGACTTTACTACGCTGAATCCACTCCCTTATAAGCCTTCGGCATGGGCCACACAGGAAGTAAGTCAAGTGATAGTTTGTACTGTTGCAGTGTTACGTCATTGCGCCTGCGCGGAAGTCTGTTTACCGAGCCCATTCCCTAGAAGCGGGTTGCATAACCTAGTTTTTCCATTGTTGCGAGCGTGTATCGCGTGTATTTACTGGTCCGTTACCTAGCAACGCTCTGCCCATCCACGTTATACGTATTAGCGATACTGAAGCGGTGCTATTAGCATAGGAGCAGTGTGGGGTACGCGATAGCGTAGTTGGTTGAGGCACTATGCTACAAGCCGTATGGTCACGGTTTCGAGTCCCGATGAGGTGGATTTTTTCAATTTACCTAATCCTTCCAGCCCAATATGACCCTGGGGTACTCAGCCTCTAACAGAAATGAGTCAGGAATCTTCCTGGGAGGTAAAGGGCGGCCGACGCGTAAGGCTGACAACCTTACCGCCATCTATGAGCCGATTGTCTAGAGAACATGTGGGAGCCTCGACGTCACACAATCCTATGGGCCTCCATGGCCAGTTACAGGAAGAGCTATACAATTTATTTTACGATAGTAGTGTTCCAAAACTTCATCACTTTTCATCAAATATATGTAATTTAATTTTTAATTATCTTCCTCAGATCGGTTCACATATTTTGGTCGTAATCCAGAGTAACTAGCTTTGAAGACAAATTACAAAAATTATTGTCACGTGTTTATGGCCGCGCCACTAATACTGATGGATTTTGGATTGGATTTATTGCCACCTCTAAAATCTTTCGTAATCACGCCAAGTTACAATAACTCAATAAAAATTCCGATCTGATCTCTCTCTATTCTGCTCTGAACTACTGCTGACTGATCTTCTAGTTCTGCTCTGTTACCCCGGCTTCGGTCTTCTGTTGCGACTGGCTTGATTCAGAGCTCCTTTAAGAATGAATTCCGACTGAGAGAGTCAGAGTCAGGGTCAGAGCTACTTTACGACTGGCCGTTTACCTCGAATCAGTTCCTCTTGACGACAAGCCCTTTGAGACTGATGACCAGTAATTTAATTTTCCATCTGAACACTTGCGCTTATAGTTCTCATGTAACATCCTCTCTGACGAGAGGATGGGTCTTTCGTTTACAATTACTGCTGGTACTCGCCAGCGCAGTCGTCCTCATCTGAGTCCCGCGGGACTCATGATTACATTTTACTTTTTATACGAAACATTAATTTGTTATGAAAGTTAATTAAGGACAGTTATATCATGACAGGAAGAATGGGTAAGGCATTCCATTATAATATAAGGGTGTGCTGAGCATGGAAACAGCAAGTGAGCTGTGGGGGATCGGAGAGCGAAAGTAGCGGAGGAAAATCGGGACACGAGGTTTGAGAGAGTATCATCTGTGCTCTGATAAGGCAGTTTCAGTAGACCTGAATTGTCATGTGATGGAAGCGCCCTACGATCTTTCAGGCAGCAGAAGAAGTGTCCATGTCTCTCTTAGAAAGAAGTCATTCTCACTTTTCATATAGTTGGTAGGGAGCCCTTTAAGAGTTTAGCAGGTCCTCCCCTCCTTATCCCAAACTGATACAGAAAATGTCACGCTGCATTCTTCCCTGGTCCTTTTGTTATGTCGTCAATGCTGCCCTGATGGACTGGCGTGTTCAAGCCTTTAGCATTACTCAAGAGAAAACCAGCATCTCCAAATAAGTATTTATTAATAATGATTCAATTTAATTCAATTCTTTCTTATGTATGTGCCGAGTCAACAGCCACAACAACAATAATAATAATAATTATAAATATTAGAGACTTAACACATTACATTAATATTTTGAAACATACATACGGTCGAGAGCGCTCGACCACTTTAGTAGGACTAGAGTTAAACCAAACAAGAAAATACAAAGAGAAATATGCATAAGCCTATCAGTCACACAACCAGAAAATTTTACCAGACTCTCGTAACACAGAGCTCGAGCCCTGCCCAAATGTGGAATGTGAGAGAGCGGGAGACAAGATGGAAGTTTGTATCTGCACTTTATCGCCCTGAGTATAGTAGGGTCTCCTCTGAACATCTACACAGTAGACTGAAGGTTCTGCTGCAGAGTCCGTGTGGCCAGAGCCGTTATGGGAAGCCCGGTCCAATAGTGAATGAAGAAATTGTAGGCATTAACATCTTCCGTAGGTTTTGGCAGCCAAACAGATGCATGAGACCTTGAGGGCGTGGCGGAGAGCCTCAGAATATCCTCTTCAAAGTGGTGTCCCCAATCGGCACCCTGGCTAAGAGCGAAAATGTATCAGGCACGGGGAGAACCCAACGTGCAGACAAAATCTGTCGAGAAGTGAGCATGGTGTGTAGATTTTCCAGTATAAATGACCAATGGTCCGGCTGATGTACCCAGAAAGCCAGAAATAGAAATATTCCAATTCGCAGAAGAATTCCTTCTGTGTCCTCTTCTCGCAGTGATAATCCGTGAATACTGCAACTTCTCTCCGGAGCCTCTGTCTTATTCATCGATGACGACATTCTTGTTTTCCACACCAGTTTTCGGTTTTTTTCTCCAGCTGTCCACTTTGGCCGGAACTTTACTGTAATCGGGGATCGGATAATTCAAAATGACATGAACAGCTGT